GGAGAAAGGAGCACAGGCACTTTGTGCAGGCAAGGAAAAGGAAGTTAAATAGGGAAGGGACGCTAATAAGCAAATGGGAAAAGAGAGGAAAAGAAAGAGCAGCACAGACGTCACTCATTTGTCCCATTAAGCAACAAACACGCTCAGAAGGGTGCTAACAAATAATCAAGCATTTGTTTCCTAATTACTGCACCTAATTCATAGGGGACTTTGCCAAGTCTGACAAGCATGAGACAGGACTGGAGAAGTCCAGCTGCTCTTGCTTTAACTCAGCAATTGAGAACTTTCTCAAAATTGATCTTTAAATGTGTTACGCATGTCTAGATGGACAAACTTTCCAAAGGGGGCATTTCAAACAATAAACAACGTAATGAAAGTATGAACAGGAGCCAGATTTGACGCAGGACAGCTAATGCCATTCCAGTACGCAGAGGGTTACCTTGCTGGGAGTCGGCGTGGGAACTTCCTCCCGGCACACGTCCACGCTGGATCCAGAGGGCTGGGCCGGACCGGGGTGGGCCAGGGGGCAGGCGCTCACACAAGCGGCCAGGCATCTTCCACATCCTACTGCTCTTCAGCAGAAACGTGTCCACCTGACCCCTAATTTTTTTGATTACTCTTGTCACTGATTCCTTCCCAGCATGGCAGAAGAGAGCTGATACAGAGAGTCCAACGTGGTCGTGGGTCACGGCGTTAAGGCTACAGCTGTGGCTGGACTCAGAGGAGTGCCCGGTGCAGCTGGGTGCTGCAAGACCCACGCACGCCGGCAGTGGGGGATGGAGCTAGGAGATGCAAAGGCCTCCCTGTCAGTTCAGAGGTCTGTGTGGCCACATATAGCTAGAGCTAACTTTAGTATCAGCCTTTACTGCAGACCAGGGCGTAAGGGGGAGGGTAAGTTTTGCTGGACTGGACAAGGCCCGGAGGGGTAGCAAAAAGACTGGAGGCACGAGGTGGGAATGACTTGTGTTTATTTTCAGTCAGGTATAGCCACCAGGCTATAGGTAAGACAGAAGTTAGGCTGCGGGTCAGGCTATTGCACGTTCTGCAACGCAGACTAACAAGCACGATCCCACGTATGGCTTTGCAAGGGTGATGGAAACAACACCAACAAGGAACGCTCCCAAGAGAAGTCATCAGCCACAACTGTCCCAAACCTACCCAGCACCAGGACCAACTACCAGCTCACTGACGATCACTGACCTGTTTGCTCCTGCATGGATCGGTGCCCAAATCAGGCCCAAGGGAAGGCTAGCTAGAGCAACAAGGCACTCGTGGCAAGCACCACATCCTCTCTCCTGCCATCGCATCAGCTAACAGAGGTGGGGAGAGGCTGGGGAAGGCGGCCGGGGAGCCCCAGCCAGGGGGGGGGGGAGGGCCTGCCGAGGGCTGCGGGGCAGCCGCAGCATGGCTGCGCATCACCACCAGCACCCAGAAGAGCGCTACGAGCAGGCTCACTGCTCAGCGCCAACCTCTGCCATCGGTGACCTGACACAACCTCTCCTCCCGAGCACCCAGAACCGCAGGATCCGCTGCCTCAGGTCTCAGGCTTGAGGAAAACACGTTTCAAAGGTCTGAGCAAGACTGCATTAAAACAGGCACAAAGAAGTCCAAGGGGAAAGTAACAAGAGCCACAGGCAGCATGCAACAAAGCAAGAAAATAATTAAAAAGTACTCTTGAAACAATGTGGCAGGTATGAGACTAAAAACGACAGCTTTCACCTATTTCTTTGAAGACTTTAGTTCGCATTCAGGAAGGCTGCCAAGACTGCTGCACATCTGAGCAGGACACCAGTAAGTGCACCAGAAGACTTCGTAAAGGTAACGTCCCACATGAGTCCTACCTTTGCAACCTGTCAGTGGTGTCCTGCAGCCTCCTGGCCTCTAGCAGGTTGTGGTCCTAAGAGCACATTCGCCATGATGAGGTACCGAGACAAGAGTCTCCATTCTTGGGCTGGTAAGACTTCAGAGCAGCACAATCAAGTATACTTGCCTTTAATGTAATATGAAATACTTACCCATTAGTATACTCAACAGCTTTTGAACTCTAGAGTTTACTCCAACGATTCGGTAGAGCCCTTGCTCATTGATCCCTGGGAAAAATAAAGAGTTTATTAGGAATATGTCAAAAGAAATACTAACATTTCTTTCTTTTCTTTGGCCCCTCTAAATAGCAGCAACAATTAAAGCCTCTCACCAGCTGCGTACAAACTCTCATTCCAGCTGTTATAGAAGAGGGTAAAATTTGGTTTTGATGTCAGAGCTTTCATGTACTCATTAAAAGTATTGCCCCCCAATTAGCTCAGGAAGCAAAGACATAAGCACACATTTTGACCACACCGCTCATCAGTGAGGGAGTGTGGCTGTACCGTGAAGGATCTGCACTTAACACTGAATGGCAGCTCTGGAAAAATTTATTATGCTAGAGTTCTTCAGGTTGAGGTCTGAGCTTTCTGTGCGTTCTGCATACAGGGCCTGGAACAACGAGGCCTTGAACGAAACTATATTATTATTCTTATAACTCCATAAATGACAAAAAGTCTAGACCTCCTTGCTACAGCAGAAAACAGCCAGAGGACTTAAACAGTGACAGAAGCCCTCTTTCCACCAAAGCATCCTCGAGTTAGGTGTGCCAAACCTTACACCTCAAGCTTTCTCAATTTTCCCTAGTAATTGCCTTTGCCTTATTTGCTTCCTGGTCTCATCTATCCCTTTGTTTCTTTGTATTTGTTTGTTTGTTCCCGTATGGCTTTTAAACCATGACCTGGATGTTACAGAAACTTGTGAATAGCATGAAAATCTCAAAATATACTTCATGTGGGAAGCTGCAAATGCCCAGTAACCACTGTGTCTCCCTTTACTCTCCACAGCAGCTTCTGCACTGCTGCAAGTATTACAGGGGAAACACCAAGTTTAGGTAGCCCATATCACATATTATACTATCTATGGGTAGGAAGAAGACCCCAGTGAAAGAACACGGACAGAAATACTGCCAATTCAGATGTTTACTCAACCAAAGGCTGCCTGTGAGGCCTATTTCTTACCCATTTATATAATCACAGACAACAGTTCTCTCAGAAACGATGCGAGAACAAGACCCATATTTCACTGTGAGGTGGCTCGGATGCTAACAAGATAGCCCATCTGTCTATAAATAGCCTCCACAAGGAATTTAGGGGAAGGATTGAAATACACGTCTATTTACTACCCCATACGAGAGGAAGTGCTTTGCATAAATATCACACTAAGGCATGCTCAGATGAAGCCTGCAACTTCATTCCTTTCCCCTCATTTTGAGCATCCAGTGCATAATTTCCTAATTTAAGTCTGTTTCTGATGTTTGTTTAACCACTGCTAACCTAGGCCACATGACTAATGCAAGTTTCAGCAAAGGCATTTGTGCGAGCTTACTACAGTGGTTATCAGATGTGGGTCTCTGAGGGTTAATGAATCATTTTTGTTCATGAAAAGAGCAGGTAAGCAATTGCTACGTTAGGAACAGATGCGAGGCCTTCCCCAAAAACAAGACCATCTGGTGAACTGCTCTACCTCTTGTTTCAACAGCATGTATGCATTTCTTGATAATGCTGAAGCCGATATTATCCAACTGGGCAGCTGAAAGGAAAGAGAAAAAAGAGAACTGATAAGCGCCTAGCACAGGGAGGGTTTCCCACTGAGCGCGCCATTCATCCAGCAGTCATCGCTCACATTCAAAGCAATATCGGATCGCTGTTCGAAACGATGAGGGGAGGAAGGAACAGGGGACAAATTAGGTGTTGGTGGAAGAAAGGCACACGTACGCTCGTTTGTACCAGGTATAATGCCGGCAGTGCAGAGCAGCAGCACGTCATCTCAGCCTCCACATCTCTCTGAACTGCCGCCTCCCACGCCTCTGCCTCCATGTCCTTACTGACCAGCAGTGCCCCGGCTACATGAAGATTTAAGCCCACAGTTGGTCAAAATATTAATTTAGGATCAAGGGGAGACAACCTGAAGAAAGCTTTGCCTGGGGAGTTGGTACTAGGTTGCTCAGAGAAAGAATAGTTACATATATTTTTGTCCTTGAACACTACACAAGCCAACTTGCTTGATCTGAATACCAGATAATTCCTATAAATCCTTTAAAATCTCCACCCAGTTAATCAAACCATCATTGCTGCCGGAAAGAGGGCTTCATCTCGAGGTCATCTCCATCTGTGCCACACACAGGGCTGCCAGTACATTTGGATTATGTGATTGACTTCCCAGGGGGAAGCCGGGCAGAGGCTTTCTGGTTGCTTGGGTTTCTTGTTGGTTTTGAGTGTTTTTGTGGAAACGCCTTTTTTTTTTCCAAGAACAAACCATATGACAGGTTAGAGCACTGAAAAGTGCCATGGGGAAAGGGCTGGGAAAATGGAAAGATAACCAAAAAGAATTGGGAAAGAAAAGACTGGAAAAGAGGAGATGAATACGAGCAGCAGTAGCTTGCTGTGAAGGAAGACGGCATAAGGAAGCAGAAGGCGAAAACGTGGAGGTAAGAACATGGCACAAAGAGGAAAGAAGGGATGTGGCCACGGAAGAGAGCAAGAGCGAGCAGGAGATGGCAACGTATTCCAGGCTGAATCTCTTCCGAGAGCAGCCCCATGTGTCCGGGCGGGCACGGACCTGTCCGTGGTGCGCGAGCCAGCCCCAGCCCTCGGGCAGGCCAGTGCCACTGCCCTCCCTAGGTGTTTACGCCCTGCAGGACACTTCAAATAAACACTGCTGCCTCCCAGGTGATAAAAACACCCAACTGTACAATACTGTCTCAAGAACGATACACAAAACATCCATTTTACCCCTTCTCCTATACAGACGTGCATAGCTCAAGAACAGACCCTCCTTTTATTAGCACAAAGGAAATATATATTGGGTGCAAATTAGGATGTCCTGAAGGCAGCTGACTCTGTCCAAGAGCAAGATCCAAAACATTCACGTTAGTGGAATGTAAGACTCAATTAACTCAAGCCGTTGCAGGCTTTCAAATTTAATTTAAAGGGGTTACTAATATGTGGATTCAAATACCTGCTGGAATATCCCTTAGTCAGCCTTCCACTGCTACGGGGGAAACACTGCCCGCAGTCAGCTGTTTGTTACGGGAAATTACTTCCTCCGCATGTAAAGGTTTGGGAAACCTTTGCTATGGTAGAAGTCGTGCAAAGTCGTCCAGGACTTTGGGACGGCCTGGGAGCCTCGCCCCAGAGGAGGGACGACGTGGCGGGCAGAGCCCACCTCCCCCAGGCTGAGTCGCGCAGCCTGCAGCGAACTGCCGGCGCTCGAGCTGGCCAGACCACGTCTGCCCGCGCTGCGAGCACCCCTCCAGAAGCAGCACGGATTATAAACGCCAGGAGGAACACGTTCCTAACTTTACCAGAGACTTGGGAAAAGTCATCAAACCTCTCGGGATCCCCTACTTGTAAAATGGAAGGTGCACTTTTTCCCCCCGAAGCGTCTGACAGAAGGCTCGTATAACATTTTCAAGATTTTGAACTCCGGAAGGCAGAGAAGGTATAGTATTATCTTAAAAGCAGATGACTTTATGTACTTCTGTGCAAACACCAGGGAATGCTAGGTTGCAAGAGACACAAAACAGCTTTCTGTCTACAGCACAAGAGGGGCAGATCCAACACCCGGGGCCGGCAGTGCCCTCACAGCAAGCCACAGGCAATTTTATTCCTTCGCATCCTCCCTGTTCACGTTGTTTATTTAAACATACTAGATTCATTGCTGGTGCATGTTAAGCCACCAGTTCACTGGCAGTCTCTAGCTTGCATGGTGCAGTCTCGTACTAATCATTTGTTTTCAAGGTCTCTGCTGCTATTGGTACTTGCATGACGAATGGCAGAAGAACCTGAAACAGCACAGCAGCTCTATTATATTTTTCTGGGCAACTATACTGAAGCCCTACGCCAACATAAGCAGTCAAGTTACAAGATGCTTGTACTATAGGATATATCCCCAAGTCCTACAGGTCGCGCTAAGCTCCTTGTGGATCCCTCAACACAGCTCCAACTTTTCTCCAGGCACAGACACAACATAAAATTAATGGACCATTAATCATTGGGACAGATCCAGGGACCCCAGACCATCGGAAAACACAAGCCCTGGGATACTTGAGAAGCAGGAAACCATGGTGTAGAAACACTTTTGTACAGACTAAAAACGGCAGGTCTTTTCAGCTTTGCTTAGTGCTAGCCCTAACCTTGAAGTTCCAGTATCCCTGTAGAGCATTGCCCACCCATACGGTTCATTATTTCAGGCTCTCTATCATGCACTTTTAAGTGCCAACTGTTTCTGCTAACCTACAGTTTTCACTCAGTTCCTAGCATGTTTGAATTTGAGAACATGACACTTACAAATCTATGTCCTTCTCCACAATTTACTCCCACTGCCAAGCTCACTACTCCAGCTCTGAGTAAGAGCTTAAAACCACACCTTTCGGCAGGGCTCGGTAGCAGCCGAGCAAAGAAACAGGAGCAGCCTCTCCGGATGGAAGTGACCGAACATAATCCTCCCAAGTAGATGAATAAGCTCTTCAACTCGTTGCTGAGCTCTGGATCAGGAAAGGTCAGGGATTTATTTGCAGTAGTTATATCCAGAAATAATATCTGATTAAATATCCAAACTGCCTTTATTCATCCTTAAATTTAACTTTTAATGAGCATCATAAAAGCTTGATTTCCCCTCTCGCAGAAGAAGCTTCTCTGTATCTCATTCATTTACCCAATGATTCAGTTCAGCAACAGCACAGATCAAAGCCGGATTTGAATCTGCTACTGTCCTGATCCTTATGCTTGCTCCACCCCCGCCAGCAGCAAACGGGTCTCTAGCCCTGTGCTTTGATTCAGCAGCTTAGTCCCCGTGTAGCGTCCGTTCGGTAACGTCTACGGGTCAGAAGTGACGGGAAAGGGAAGGGACGACAGCTTGCCTTTTGGGGCTAGAGAGAGCAACGCTGCGTGATCGCGGCCGCAGGAAGCGCGGGGTGCGCAGTCCCGCAGCATCAGCCAGACCCAGTCTAGCCTCGTTGGCCCCATCCCCTTTCACTCTCTCCTCCTTGCCCTGGCAGTAGGACTAGTGCCGTGAAATGGTTCAGTGAGCTGATCTGGCTGGAGGAAAAAAAAACAAAAACAAAAACAAAAACTTACCAAAGTAAAAGCAGCAAGCCTTCAGCCAGCTGATCTCAGTGAGGGCTAAGGGTGGCGCGAGGTGGGAGCAGGAGTGCGTGTGCGGGAGAGGACGGCACCCCGCGCTCGGCTGGTTGCAACCGTGCGCAGCCGCTGCCTGCAGCCAGCCGCGCTCGGGGAACGAGAGCAGAAAGCAGCAGGGAAGAGCAAACCCTCAGAGCTGCCACCAAAGAGCATGGCCACTATGCTTCTCACTTCTTCACAGCTGCCATCTCTAATCCCCATCTGAGATGTTTAAAATGGCTTCTCAGTCATAACAGAGAGTGGATTTACAGTCTTTTCTAGCAGGGACACTATGTTTCTCTGTTCACGCATTCAAGCATGCAGCAGGGGCAAGGCCTCCAACCCGACCTCCTGCCTTTCCCCTCTCTCCCTCAGGCGCTCCCTCCTCGGGAGGAGATGCCGAACGAGCAGCTGCAGCCCAAGATGCACGTCACGGGCTCCCCATACAAAAGCCGCATTTCAATGCACAACTGAGACGCGGTACTCATACTATATCAGAGAAATATTTTAGATCAGCAAAGGTGACACACTTTGCCCGTATTCCAGCTACTGCGTGCACACACATACTTATCAGACTGTCATGTAAGTACCGAATTTCTAGTGCTCCTGAGCTGGTCTCATCGTATTCCGTTTTTGACTAATAGATTATACCTATTTAATCCATTAATTCCTTTGCTTTACGCGGATATAGCATATCAGTGTGGGCAAGAGGAAAGACGACTGAATCACCTCTGTTCGGTCTCAGGCAACCTTGCTGACTCCAGATGTGCAAGCATCAGTCATTGTAACACAAGGTCAAAACTGGCTCTTCTGCATGCCCCATTATACATCTTCGGGCTGTGGAGTGAAGTGCCAGGATTATTATCGCTATGAACTACTTCAAAGAGCATTATGGTATTAAGAGCCACAGAGGGAGGGAGAAACCAAGAAGTGGAGACCAGGAAGAAATGAGTAGCTTCATCTTATTGCAAGTCTCGAACTACCAGTGAGCTGCCCAGATGCTAGGAATGAAGAGCCCTGGGGAAGGATCGTGGGCTACCCTGTAACCAGGCCGGCAAGACAAGCGGAGACATAGAGCAGAGTGTCAAGAAACTGAAGGTCTATGAAGAGTTTATGAAAATAAAGACATTTTTCAGTGGGGTCCTGAAGTAAATAGGGAATCAAGTCGGTACGAAAAAAAGATGGAAACATCGTGCTGAGGGGAAGGAAGAAAGGGGTTCTTCTGTGCTTGTCCATGCAACACGCACAAGAGCCTGGAGGATTTATTTTCAGAGAGCAGGGCAGGTCCTCTTGGGTTGCTCACTAGTGCATCAAAATTCATTTAGTTCTAGCAGTTCACTGATACTCGTTCCCACACACCCTGCCACTCTGCACTACTTCCTCCTCACTCCTAAAGAAGATTAAGATAAATCACCTTGTAGGCTGATGGCCATCTGGCCGCACAGCAGGATGTAAAATCCAAGAGCTCCTGTAAAATTAGATAGTGGCCAAAAAGCAGACCTCACTACAGTACTCTGAGTCTCTTTCAGACTAATATAAGTAAGAGCAGGAAACAGAGTTCTATAGGTTTTAAGGGTCAGGAATTGCATCCGGACTCATTTCAATTTCATTCATTTCAAGTCCTTATAGGAAGCTTCTGTGTCAAAGACTGGGTGGCAAAAAGCCAGGCTCAGAATCAATTTTAAGTGTAGCTGGTGAGGCAAGCAGCTCACTACAGACATGCTTTTAATGAGCACTAAAACACAGTCAGATGTTTGAACACAGCAGCAGCGGCTCTAGTCAGAGCACTATGTGAAAATAATTGCTACCAGACAACGCAGGAATACCGTTATGTAAGCAACTTTCATCGGAGGGCCCCAACGCACTCCGCAAAACACGGGCAGGGTCTGTAAGGCAGGAAAGAAGAACGATTCTTATTTCTAAGATGGACCATCAGAATGGAAAAGATGCTGAAAGATGAGCAACTTCGCCAAAGCCCTCTCAGCTGATCAAACCCTGACTTCTTTCTTGTGTAGG